ATTTGGGAGGTTGTTATATATACTGTTCTCCTTCCTTTTGTATATTTGAGATTTTCTATAATAAGTTTGAAATAAGAGACAAATAATAACTGTCCTAAAACACTGTGATGCTTCAACTTTTAAAAAAAATTCAATAGTGCTTTACAGTTTTCAAAAGTTTCACACACATGATGTCATACAATACCATTAATAACTCTTTTTCCCTCCTATCCCTCTATTGCCCCTCCTCCCTTCCCTCTCTCCACTGGTAACCACTAGTTTGTTCTGTGTATCTGTGTCTGCTTCTTTTTTGTTTTATGTGATAAGTTCAGGATGAAATATATTGCCATGATATGCTGCTTGAGTAAACTCTATAAAAATCACAAAAGAATGTTTCAGGACACTGTCAAGAATAAATAGTCTCATCTCATTCCTGGTTTCAAAAACTTACCTGAACTCCCGTCTCCTTGGCAGTCAGTATGGTGGACTGTAGTTTCCAAACAGCCTTAATGATACCTCCCATCCCAGTGCCCTTCTTACCATGTGACTTTGACCCTCCTCCAAATGAGAGATGGGGCTCGGACTCTTGCCTCCGGAAGGGCTTGTGGGTCCAGCAGAAGTGACACTGTATGAGGCTATGTTATAATAGGTAATACATATACATATATCTATTCTTTTTCAAATTCTTTTCCCATTTAGGTTATTAGAAAATGTTGAGGAGAGTTCCCTGTGCTATACATAGGCCCTTTTGGTTATATATTTTATTTTAATTTTTATTTTATATTGGAGTATAGTTGATTAACAATGTTGTGCTAGTTTCAGGTATACAGCAAAGTGATTCCGTTATAGATAGTGTATTTGTATATGTGTATGGATAATGGAATCACTTTGCTGTACACCTGAAACTAACACAACATTGTTAATCAACTATACTCCAATATAAAATAGAAATTAAAAAAATAAATTGTAACTCTTCTTAAAAAAAAGTAATACACTTCTGCCTGGTTCTCTTGGTATTCTCTCTCTGGAAGCACCCATGTATAGGTGTTCAGCTGATACCTCCTGCTTCAGTCCCAGCTGTTAGCCAGCATCGGCCTTCAGACATGTGAGTAAGTGAGCTTTCTGATGATTGTGGCTCCAACCATCAAGTCACCCCCTGCCCCCTTTGAATCTTTCCAGCTGAGGAAGACATCATAGAGCAGAGATAAGCCTTTTCTTCTGTGCCCTTCCTGAATCTGTGAGCAAAACAAAATTCTTGTTGGTTTATATTACTAAGTTTGGGATGATTTGTTACACAGCAGTAGCAACTGGAACAGTCAGAAAATGTTAATGAGAGACAGAAGAATCTTATTTCTCAGGGATCATCACTTATCATAACATGCCCAAAAGATACATACATACTCAGTGATTTTGATGGTATTCACAATTTTTGTGATTTCCATCAACGTGATGACTTCCAAATCAGGAATTGTATTGTAGACCATCCGTTAGTCCCAGAATAAAGTAGTTAGTGGCTGGGCAATCAGGTGTATCTCTTTAATTCTTCTTACTCCACCTCCCCCCTTCATCAGGACTTCCTTCTGCTGGAGCTCCAGAACCATGGCTTCCTGCCCCTTCCCCTCATTACACTGGTTGAATTGGGAGCAGAGGAGGGGCTGGCCTAATCTGGGGACTGGACAGGGAAGAGGGATGTCAATTCTGTTTTTTTTTTTTTTTCCCCAGTAGTTCTTTTAATGTTTTTAAATTGAAGTATAGTTGACTTACAATGTGTTCATTCTGGGTGTACGGCAAAGTGATTCAGTTATTTGTATATATATACATATTCTTTTTCAGAATCTTTTCCATTATGGTTTATCACAGGATATTGAATATAGTTCCCTGTACTATACAGTAGGACTTTCTTTATCCACTTTATTTATAGTAGTGTGTATCTGTCAATCCCAAACTCCTAATTTATTCCTCTTCCCCTACCCCCTTTCATAACCATAAGTTTGCTTTGTGTGAGTCTGTTTCTGTTTTGTAAATAGGTTCATTTGTATTGTTTTTTTTTTAGATTTCACATATAAGTGATATCATAGGATGTTTGACTTTCTCTGTCTGACTTACTTCACTTAGTATGATAATCTCTAGATCGATCCATGTTGCTGCAAATTCTCTGCCCATTCTGACCTGAATCTGTCCTTCTGAATTACGTAAGCAATACCCTTTATTGCTGCACACATGACTGGTGTTCCTTCTGCCTGACTCTGTCACACTTTTTCATTTCACACTGTGCTGTGAAAAAAAATCTAATTTTTTTTTAGAGATAAACAGAATAAAAAGTTGTCCAGCACTTTTTCCTTAAGTGTGTATGACATATTCTCAAGATTTGTTTCATGCTCTGTACATAAGGTGTTTTATCCAAGTGTACGTCAGAACACCTGCTAGCTTTAACTCTTATTTGTAACGTTCCATTTCTTAGGCTAGATGGTAGGTCCACATGGGTTTCATCACATTCGCAAGAACATGATAGAATGATGGTCTTTTGTATGTTTGTCATTAATATCATGTGACATCCATCAATGTCATAATGATGGAATTTTGCCCATAGTCCATTCTGTTTTCTCACCAAACATCATATGGGTCCTTAACTTAATGGATAATTTTACAAGCTTCTCCTCAGTTGTGTAATATTTTTACTTTAGGATACGTTTACTCTAAGAAATGCCTCTTAACAATGATGGTCATCTCTCCTTGAGAGACGAAATTAGTAATGTTTGCTCTGAACAACATTATTTTGTGGCATGTTCTGGGGAAAAAAAAAAAACCACTAGAAACATCATTGTGCAAGATCTCCTGTTAAACATATCCTGTTCCTGATAAAACAGATGTTCTGCATGGAAACAATAACTGGGTCCGTTATTTTAATGGGGAGAATTTTAATACATTGCATATCAAACTACACACCCAACCAATTTCCTAAGTAGCTACAGCACAGTCAAATGTCTATTATAAGTGACAAACTAACATGTGAAAATGAATTGTTTAGAATATTAGTTCCAGATCATCGAACATTTAATATGATTGTTAACAAGCATCAGTTTTGTATGCAGGAACGGGTACATTTTGCATAATATACCGTAAACATTGTGTTTATGGTGTGGAGTAACAAGTGATACACTCAATAAATAAAATTTATTAGAAAAGTGCAGATAAAAATGTACAATAAAAGCAGGTAGTTTCCTATCATGGTCTACGTTACCGAGTAATGTAGAGACTCAGAGTATGAAGAAAGTTAAGAACAGAGGAGGGGAAGAGAGTCGAATCAGTTACTTTGTGTTGATGGTTATGGAGTTGGGGGTTAGAGGTACCGTTTCAGAGGAACTAATAGAGTTGTGTCAGAATGCCGA